TGCTTAAGGAATTTACCCTCTTAAGCTCAGGGGTGGAGGCACCTCGGCCCTGGAATCCTCTTTACGAAACAGTAGTAGTAGTAGTAGTAGTAGTAGTAGTAGTAGTAGTAGTAGTAGTAGTAGTAGTTTAGGGTTTAGTAGTATTGCTATTATCATTGTCACCATTATGACGTTTATGATTATTAGTATCATTACTAATATTATGATTAGTAGTAGACCCAAACTGAAATCCGAAAGCCTAAACCGCCTAAACGGCCTAAACCTTAAACCCCAAAGCATCATGAAATAGGGATTCCCATCGACATGCAGAGGCAAAAGGTGCCCGTTTAACAAAACCAAAGCACCCAAAAGGTGCCGTTGCCTACATCCACTTCATGCCCAAAGGAATGGCGAGGCCTTGCTGTGTTGAAAAGTTCAAAGCCCTTTCGGGGTTTAGGGTTTTGGGCAAATTTCTTGAATTAGTCCGAAAGCTATTAGCTTCCTAGCCTTAAACGCTAATTCCTTGAACGCTGAACCAAAATATCCGGACACCAGCTCCAAGCAGCCGTGGAAATTTTTTTGGGGCAGTGTGGCGGCAGGTTCCCTATTATCGTACAGGGAAATCCCCAGGGGTCTTGATTCCTGAAAGGTTCCATGACATCGATGCCTCCCTGACGAGCTTGGAGAAGTGCGCTCCTTTTTCGTGGTGTGCATTCGAGAATTTGTGTGTAAACTGGGTCCAGGGTTTAGGGATTATGGTGGGTTCATGGGGCCTTAGTGAGCTGTAGCTTTTGGAGCTTAAGGTGCATGCTACAATGGGTTATAACTGTAAGAACTCTAATCTGGCATCGGGCAACATGTCCCAATCTTGCAAAAATGGTGTTAGTGTCTATACAGTTATAGCATATTACAGCATATTGTTGATGAGAAAATCCTGCCTTACTTTAAGGACGCTACACTGTGGGTATTATGGTATATCCCTTACTATAGGTAATGCAGGATTGATATCATCAGCCGTAGTGTATCCTAAAAAGCCCTCTTGTTTGGGTTCAGGGGCCAGGGGGAGTCTGAGAGCTCTGCATCTAAACTCCCTAAGTTAGACCCTGAACCCTAAACCTTCAAAAAGCCTAGAACCTGATGCTCAAAGAACCGTATCCAAAAGCTCCCCAAGCACCAAAACAACGTAGACTTATTCCCTTAAAATTACAGCCCTACACCATAACACATTTACAGGGACCACCCCGAACTCCAAACCCTAAGCCCTAAACTCCAAACCTTAAACCCCGAAACCCTGCTTGTGCAGTCTTTCGAGGTACTGGTTCTCTCGAGAGGGCGGCTGGAGCTCCATGCGCACTTAAGGGTTCAAGGAATAATTGGGGTCGGCTTTACTTTTGAAGGGGCTTCATGGTCGGCTCGCTTTTGACTTATAGAGGGAATTATAGAGGGCGATCGATTTGTCTGTTGGTGGGGAGGGAAGTGCGGGGTGGGGGGGAGAGGTTTGGGTTTGGGGTGTAGGCATTGGCCATTTTCATGTGCATGCATGGTTTTTCTTACCACAGCAGTCCTGAACTTCAGCTTTCTCGGAAGGCTCAGCCCAAATACAGCGTCCCGAACAAGTCAGCGGACAATTCTTTCTCTAAAACCCTGAAAGTCCCGTCCGCGAAGCCGTTTTGGCTCCCGTAGAAAGTCTGACTGACGTCTCCTCATGTCTTTGGCCAACCACGCGTTCCATCAACGCGGCGGGCGCTGCAAGGTAGTGGAGGAGGACGAAGCTTTGCAATGCAGCGCCGACCAAGTGGCCAGGTGGGAAGCGAAGCAGAAGCAAGAATGGAGCGACATGTATCAAAAGGTCCGGGTGCAGCAGTCTAACCTGCAGAAGGCCAGGACTCAAGTGGACAAGTTCCTGCAACGCCACGGCATTCACAGTAACAGCTTCGATGTCAATGTGCCCAAGAAGTCGTTTGGAGGGCTGTGCCGAACCTATCCACTTCATCTCGCCGCAAAAGAGAGAGACTGGCACATGGTTCGTTTGCTTCTCCACTTCGGCGCAGACCCCTTGCAGCGTGACAGCCGTGGAAGCGCTCCTTGCGACTGCATGGGGCAACTCGCGAGAGCAGATTGATAAGAGCTCAGACGATCACGAAATGTTTAACTTTCAAACTTCTAATTGCAATATTGGGCTCCGATTGGAAGTCGAATTGGTCTTTTCGCTATGGCATTGGATGTCCGGATTTCCAACGCTAGGCAGTGACTGTAGCAGGAGAGAGTAGTGCGGGCCCATTGGTCCATTTAGACAGGCCGGACCAATGCTGTGTCAGTGCATACAGAGATGCAGGTGCAGCAATCCAAATGCCACAGCAACACCTTTTCCATTGAGCTCCTGTGCATGACAATAAATCGAAAACCGCATCCTCCGAATCCGCCTCTGTTTCTTGCCTCAGGTGTAGACTCACAACCTAAGCGTCGAAAGCAAAGTTCCTTCCCAGTGTTCACGGAGGCAACAAGTTGAGTGCTGATCATGCTGCTACGAAGCGCGTAAACCTGGGCTTGGGCCCAAACCACTCTCTCAGGTTGGCATGAATCCTTGTCCAACGCCTAGGCAGCAGCAGGCCCTATAGTAGCCCTGGTAGTAACTATGCTAAGTCTTACAAAAGAAGATGCTAGGCCTGAGAAACGACCCGTCGAAGTCTTTGACAACTTACACTCGAGATCCCGGTTTGCAAGAAATCTTGGCCGTGTGGCGAAAATGCCACAGCCTGGATTGGATTGGCTGGGACGAACAGCTGGGACGAACAGTCACAGCTGGCCCTGGCCGGGCTGACACTCGGGTCTCGTGTTGGTTGGTTCCCACTGGCGATGCATCGACACAAATGGAGACCGCATGTTGCTCATTCACAGGCTTAAGGCTTACGTGTCCTGAGTTCAAAGCTTTCGAGCGTAGGAGCTGCTGGTGAGCATGGAAGCCATACTACTACAATAATGATAATTACTATTATTATTATTATTATTACCATTATTACTATTATTATTATTACCATTATTATTACTATTATTATTGGTATTATTATTATTATCAGAGACATGGGATCCTTGTGGTGTCTTGGAAACCTACGCCGAAGCCAGGCCCATCATCGTCTTCGCCGACGAGGCTTCTGCAGAGCAGCAGGTCCGTGGAGTAGTGCGTTGCAGACACGTTCTGGGCTGTATGGGCTTTATTTATGAGATTGAAAGGGTTATGAAGGGGGTCTATGGTGTTTCATAGAGGTTTTGAGTTTTGAAGGATTCCTGGGGCTTTTTGTAGGGTATAGGGTTTTAGAGGTTAAGTTCTTTTTCTGCTCTTTGATACTTTTTGGCCAGGAGGGCGGTCGTGGAATTTGTTCGTCCGAGCCATTAATCTTCAACCCTAGACCGTAAACGGACCCTAAACCCTAAACCCTAAACCCTGAAGCCTAAAGCCTGAACCCTAAACCCTAAACCCTGAACCTTAAACCCTAAACCCTGAACCCTAAACCGTGAACCCTAAACCCTGAACCCTAAACCCTGAACCCTTATGGTCAGATCCTGATTCCCCACGCCCTGCACTCAGTCTAGGACATTTTCAGGTGGGTAGTTACCGTGATAGGAGTCTTATAGAAGGCCTATATACCTTATGGAAGTCCTATAGAAGCCCTATATAGCCTAAACTCCCCTCCTGTAGTTTCCTTTAACTCAGTTTCCGAAAATAGGGGACCCTAATATGGTACCCTAAATAGTAGGATCCTTATTATAAGGTAAGCCCTAAACCCTAAACCCTAAACCCTAAACCCTAAACCCTAAACCCTAAACCCTAAACCCTAAACCCTAAACCCTGAACCCTAATTTTCGGAAACTCCCCAGTGTCGCAGGCTGCTAGCTTCTCGGCGACATTCCCTTTCCTGAACATTTCGGCTCGAGCCCCGACTTCGGGGTTCGGATGCATCTCGTGGTTTACTTAAAGGATCATGGGTTTAGGGTTTAGGG